GCAAGCTTCTTCAACAAGAGTGGTCTAGGAACAGAATTAAAGGCTTATGAGTGTTTCATGAAGGCACAACGAACATACTTAACACCTTTATCTAGACTGGAAACAATATTATGATGCAAGACAGTGACAACATCTAAAGTACTTCTCCTATGTTTGTAGGCAAATTGTTTTAGATCTCTGAAAACCTTCAGTGAAGGTTTATGCACCAGCAGAAGTAATTTCTGTTGTTAATGGTTGGCCAAATTGTGTAACTCATGATGTGCATGGACTGAGTTGAGCATATGAGATTGGGCAAGTTTATACGAGACCAGTTATGTTTAATGTTAGCCTTAGGAATCAACCAGCAGAATCATATGCTTAAGGCAACTGCAGTCAGACAAAATTGTACCAAATTGATGACTATGTTAACTAAGGAGTATAACAATTTTCAATTCCACAAATCCACAGAGAATATGACTAGTCGTCATAATTTACTCTTAACTTGCCTCACCTTACTTTCTTTCTACAATATTAACATGCTTGTATTATTCATCATCAAAAACTTATGGTGATTTCGTGTCTTATCATCCGTCATATTGGTATCATTTTTTCGAGGTAGTTTCCATAATTCTGTATAATTTCGAATCCTCTCTCCCTATTGGTCTATTTTCTTACCAAATGGTGAAGCTTTGAACTCTGTATCATTATTCTTAATTTTGGCTGAATTTTCCACAAGGAATTATTGATTTTATTACTAATCAATGAAGAAGGTATTTTACATGCAGTAATATTTGTATAAAAATGGAAATATATTTCTCAACTGAGTTATTCACACTTTTCACCGAATACATTAAAAAGAACGTAGAACTATAGGTTATCGTTATGCAAATTCAACCATGTTTAGTTGTTTGAAGAGGTGAATTTTTGTAAAATTTCATTGGTTGGTTTCTATACGAATCTAGGCGTTACATTTCACTTTATTGGAATACGTGGAATACAACTGGTGATTTACCCTTGAACCTCTACTGGTCTCATCAAGACAACTTATATTGAAGAAAACCTAATTAGTAACTATCAAATCTGGTGGCCTACTTAAACTCTCCACTACTGAAAATTTTCTGCCTAATTTATTTATTTTATTTTTAGGGAGAATAGGTAAGTCGGTTGACGAGGTTGTGAACCTTCATCAATTGAGATGGCTAGCTAGGACACGTGTTACGTATGCCTAGTCACCGATAGCCTTGTCACACAATGTTGGCTGAAGTAGGCTCAGGCTGGAAAAAGGCCCGAGGTGGCCAGACTAAAACATGTCAGCAATGCATGAAGTCTCTGACTGTTGGTTTGAGCCATGTGGGGCGATGCAGTCTAGGTGGTTGGGGGTGGCGGGACAAGAGAGACCAGTGGTTGGAGACTGTAGGGGATATGGCTGAGAACCGATGTCAATGGCTCAGATGTATCCCTACATATATTATCTTCATCTTAACGATGCCATACCGAGTCTCACCATCTTGTCATTCCTCTTTTCTTTCTTCTCGTACTTTGTATTTCTTTTGATTGAATTTTCTTATCTTCATCTCCCATTTCACTGCCTTTTTACTTGATGTACTGAAATGAGGTGTGGCAGCTCGAACAGTCACGCAGTAATGCCTGGTCCTAAGTTGATCTGGATGGACGATTTAATCAAATCTATCCCTTTCAATTTGTTTTAATCTGTGAAATGTTTTTCAAACGCGTCAAGTACTCTTGCACAGTTTTGAAATGGTTTCAAACTAACAGCGGAACAGACAGTAAACGATATGCCAGTATATTACTATTCTTTTGATAACTATATCGAGTTGCAGATTTTGGTACTGGCTGGATAAACTCCCACCATCAAAATTAAGCTCAATATTCGATTTATTCACCAGTCTAAACCATATACTAACTTTATACCAGGTGCCTGTTTCATATTGTGGCTTTTATCACTACTGAAGATTCCATACTGTACCACAAGTTTTGTTAGGGAAAGGGCTATTATTATTATCATTATTATTACTCCACAACTATTCACCTGACTATTTGATTTCAAAATTAGTAATCATTCTTACTTATTATTAGTATTTGTCCCTTGGGTCCCTAGTGGAACAAGGGGGTTCAGTAGCACGCCTCCATTTCACTCTTTTCTCTTCAGTCTTTTGAAAATGGCTCCACGACTGCCCACAGGCTTTCACTTCTTCATCACACCATCTCCTCCATGTCACCCTCCGATGCCTAACTCGTCGTTTCCCATTTGGATTCCACTCGAGAAACTGGTCTGGCGCATGATGTCCCCAAACGGCCTTCTCAGTGTTTATGTATGTCTGCAGTTTGTTGGAAATGCTCCATGTAACGCCCCAAGTCTGTGAACCGAACCATATAGAAGCAATCACTTCATTTTAGCGTTAAAAATCCGGATCTTGTTCTTTATGCTGAGTGTAATCATTCTTGTTTAACAATGCTCAAAAACCTTTTCTCTGAACCTAACCTTCAGGATTGAATTTTGGGGGTTTCAAGTAGGTATTCATGATGGTCTGACATAAATTGATCAGGTGTTTCATCCTAGTATGGTACTTTTTAATACGTCTCACCTACTTTATTAGCCATGGGCTGCACTTAAGGCTTCTCAGAGAGCTTGTATTCTATGAAGCCGGCATATTGAACTGTCCCTCAGTGAAGGCATACCCTCCTATGACTGGAAGGATACCATATTCACACATAACTACAAGGCAGATTCTAGACAGCATCCATAAAATTACAGACCGATAAGTTTGACTAGTACTGTAGTGAAACTCCTAGGAAGAGTTTTCAAGAAAGCAATCACAATTGACTGTGAGAGTAACGCTCTAGTGTCTCATTCACAGCATGGCTTTCGCAGAAATTTCTCTTCCCTGACAAACCTCATTAAGGTCAGAGAAAGTTGGGTTAAGTCTAAAAATGACAAGATACCTGTAGATATCATTTTCATAGACTTTAGTGAGGCGTTCGAAAAGGTACCTCATCTCAGGTTGCTCGGGAATCTAGAAAGTTTTGGAATCACTGGCAGTCTGCTTGAGTGGATAAGAAAATTCCTTTTCGATAGAAGATAAATAGTAAGGATCCATTCTCAACTCTCCTCTTGGAAGTCGGTAGAGAGTGGAGTGCCGCAAGGCACAGTTCTGGGTCCCCTACTATTTCTCCTATACATAAATGAGCTGCCAAATATCAGGAAATCCCCTGTGGTTCTTTCTGTACACTGAAGACGAAAAAAATCCAGCCATAAATTAGATAAGATGAGGATATATAAACCCTACAGACAGCTTGTTTACCTGGTCACAGAAATGGCTGATGCTTATCAACTTAGGTAAATGTGTAAGCGTGCACTTGAGGCACATGGCAACTCCTACGATATTGATGGGACTCTTCTACTGTCAGTACTGATACACAGTGACCTAAGAGTAGCAGTGAGTTATGATTCGAAAACTATGGCACACTATCAATTGGTCAAAGCTCACAGTTTTAGCCTACTTCGGCCACTACGCAGAAAGTTTGCAGAAATAAGCGGTGATATTTTAATCATATTATACACATTCTTAGATCTAAATTAGACAACTCTATACATGCCGCAAATCCCTATCTGAAGGGTGACGTAGACCTTCCAGAAAGAGTTCAGAGGGAAGCCACTCGTATGATCCCTCTGATGGCTGACCTAAACTATGAAGATCAACTTAAGGAGCTGAACCTCTTCACTGCATCCTATCACAGACAGAGGGGAGATCTAATCTTGCTATACAGGATTCCAAGAAATGACTTTGGACATGATCTATCTTCTCTTTTCCTTCCCACTAGGTTGGGACACCTCAGAGGACATAGTAGGAGGCTACAAAAGCAAATAGAGAACGTAGTCTCCGTAGAGAACTGGTTCTGGCATCTAGTAATCAACTCCTGGAACCGACTCCTAGAAGAAGTGATGTCTGCATCACCAAATGATTTGTTCAAAAAGGGATTGGACAAGCACAGAAATCTACTGGAAAAGAATTAATGTCGGCTCACAACCTTCTATCGTCAAATAACAAATCTGAATCTGAATGAACTTCTAAGCCAATGGGTTAGATTCAAATGATCCGCAGTTTCTTACTTTAGTCAATTCGTGATATAGCACAATTTTCAGCCAATCCCATTGATGTGTAACTGTCCACATGTCTAACTAAGCGCACCCCAACAATTATGACCTATTAAACCTACTTGATTAGATTTACGGTCCTGAGTTAACCAATGAAAAGCGTTATGAATTCTAGTAACCAGTTGTTTTTACTGATTGTGAAATAAATTGGAAATATGCATAGTTCAATGTCCAATGTTTCAGTCGATAAATGAAGTTTAATAAAGTTTCAACTACACCAATTCTAAAACATTTTATCATCCTCTTCAAACTATTATTAAATAATTCAAGTTGTTATTCATCGTAGACTGACATCAGTTGGAGGAACAAAGGAAATCTGGGAGCACTCGACAGCTGTTTCGTCCGACTAGTATAGGACTCATCAGCAGTGCACACCCATGACCCCGCACCACTAGGGATCGAACCTATAACCTTTGGGTTTCGCGGCCAGCGCGTTACTATTGAGCCACTGGGTTGGTTGAATTTAATGCTTCATATTTCCAACTTTTGTTAGCTCACGATATAACGCAACTGCCACCTGATGTCATCGTTGAGTAACTGTCCTCATAACCATCAGGCTTTGACTAATAAATAATTCAGTTTTGCAGCTTGTTGGCATTTATTTATTGGTTGATTACGGGCTGATATTCATCATGGACTGATATAGATTTGGAAAAATGGTAGTGCTGGACATCTGTTTTGTCCCAGTATATGACTCCTCAGCAGTACATAACCACAACCCCACCCTGCTAGGGCTCGAACCCAGGACCTTCAGGCCAACTCGCGATATATATATATATATATATATATATATATATATATATATAAAACAAGTTAAAGCGTAGATATTCTTCAAATGACTTACTTTCAAAGTAATCAGTCATATTCTTATGCACTTCTGCACATAATATAGCATTTATATTCATTCTAAAAGATTATCCTTCTCTGTAGATTATATATCCAATAGTTTTATGAAAACTTAAATGAATATAACAAATTAATTAACTAGTTCACATTTGAAAATATTAATATTTTTCACAATGACAATGACAATTCTTCAACTGATAATTGTTTTCAATATGAATTGAATAAAGTTCAAGTTTTGTTTAAGTATACAGTTAAATTAATTCAAGGAATTCATAAACTTCCTACTTAAAGACAAATTTTTATTGAAACTTTTTCTCAAATATGATTTCATTACAAGTGAAAATTTATTTAACTTTTCACCAATAAAATTTCTTTTCTGTTTTGATTGGTAGATTCAGACGAATAATTTTCATTGGTGAAAAGAGTTGTTTCAATAAAAAAGTATCTTTTGAATTTTGAAGGAATTGTAGAGATTTGGAAATATTTCAAGTTGTTATTCTTCGTAGACTGACATCAGTTAGAGGTATTCCCAAAGTTTCAATGAGAAGTCATGACAGGTGGAGTCAAAGCCTGATAGTTGTGAGGACAGTTACTCAACGACGATATCAGGTGGCGGTTGCGCTATATCATGAGCTAACAAAAGTTGGAAATATGAAGCATTGGATTCAACCAACCCAGTGGCTCAATGGTAACGCGCTGGCCGCGTAACCCGAAGGTTATGGGTTCGATCCCTGGTGGTACGGGATCGTGGGTGCGCACTGCTGATGAGTCCTATACTAGTCGGACGAGACAGTTGTCGAGTGCTCCCAGATTTCCTTTGTTCCTCCAATTGATATCAGTTTACCATGAATAACAACTTGAAAACGTATCTTTCAAGTTGGTATTCATCATGAACTGATATTAGCTACAGGAACAATGGAAACCTGAGGGGTACTAGAAAAAAGCTTTTTCTTCCTAGTGTGCGACTGTTCATTGGTGCGCAGCTACAACGCCACCCCGCCTCCCCCCACCAGGAATCAAACCTTGGACCTTCAGATTCCGTGGCCAGCAGGTTATGACTGAACCACTGGATCGAACTCCAGCGGTCCACGTTTTTAGCTTGTGTCAGTTCACGACATAGCACTACCATCATCCGATGTCGTTGTTGAGTATTTGTCCCCACATTCACCCGGTTCACCCCACCAACTTGAAATCAATAAATCCCCATAAACCGGCAAATTGAATTATTCTGGTGCTTATTGCTAACTAGCTTCGAGAGGTTCGAGAAGTTCCAATGAAAATTTGTGACCAGTGAGGCAAACCTGGCTGTCGTGAGGACAAACGCTTAACGATGACATTGCATGATGGTCACACTATGTAGTGAATTGACTGGAGTTGGAAATATAGACAACTGGATTCCGACCCAATGACTCAGTCGTAACGCGTTGGCCACGGAACTTGAAGGTCATTAGTTCGATCCCTGGTGGCGGGATCATGGGTGTGCACTGCTGAGGAGCCCCATACTGGAAAGAAACAGCTTCTTTCCAATGCTCCCAGGTTTCCAATGTTCCTTTATTTGATATCAGTCCATGATGAATACCAACTTGAAAATTCACTAAATCCCCATAAACCTCGAAATTCAATAAAGTATCCAGTATAGTTTGAAGTTCATAGGGACTTTATTTATTTAATCATCACTAACTGACATCAATTGGAGAATAATATACCCTATTACGGGACTTCTCATCAGTGAGTACTGCCGACAACCCCGGGGATTGAAATGAGGGATTTCAATTCCCTGGGATGAAGGTGTTAACTACGTTCCAGTGTTTAGCTAACTGATATCACTTTGTGATGAATACTACAATGAACCTCAAACTACATTACTATGAAAGCCTTCAAGATGGATATCCTGAATTTTTAGTAAGAAACCATGATATATTGGGGTAAACTGGTTGTAAGTGCAGCCAATGCCAACTGAAGACCTTAGATGATTGTCATGATATGTAGCGAATTGACAGACATAAGAAAGTGTAGTCCATTGAATTCGAATCTAATGGCTGAATTGTTAACGGGTGTGCAGTGTGATCTGTAGGTTCTCGGTCCAATCCTTGGCATGCCTCAGTCATGAGGGCGAACTGCTGAGGAATCCCATACTGGGACGAAACACCTTTCCAATGCCTCTTCAACAGATGTCATTCAATGGTGAATGCTACTATGAAGTATTTAATGCTTATGGTAGTACTTGTTACAAAGAATCTCACTTTCATAAAATACAATTTTTCTAGGAAATTCAACAACTTATGTATACACGTAAATCTAAGTGCCATAGATCACATTATTTTATTGATTGGAATCAATTGCTTGTTTTATCCTAATAAATTATGGTGTGTTGTGGTCAAGTAATTTACTTTCTGTATCTACAACTAAATCAGTTCACCTGAAATATTCAGCCAATAAGCATTATACTTTGTGTTCCGTTGAAGTGGCCAAATTGCGTGACTCCTCGTGTAGGTATATCGAAAATATGAGAATAGGAAAATATACTCTAGACCAATCACATTCAAGGTAAATGCATTGGCACAATCACGTGCTTAAGATAATTTCAACTCAGCAAAGATATGATAGGCTACAATGATCAATACTGGCTTGATCATAAGGTGTTATCATTCTATAAACTGCCTGTATATAGTCAAGTTTCAGCTGTCAAGCCTGAGTTCTCAAAATATAGCAAATTAATAGATACGTTAGGACACTTGATGATTTTGCGTCAAGAGTGACCACAATTGTAAAAATGTGCTCACCCTTTATCATCTGTTTCTAATGTGATTAAAACTTGAGCACTGTAGAAGATCGTATTTCGGGTGCTTACTCAGCAGGATAGTAATGTTGTGCGGTAATGTTAACACAACTTCACAGGTCTCAAACATGTCTTGTATATATATATATATATATATATATATATATATATATATATATATATATATATATATATATATGCAGAGAGGAAGTCTAATCACTTGTTCCAGGTATTCAGTCCTAAGTCAACATACAGAAAAAGGGGTTAATAATTCCTACATTCACCAAACTAATTCAGCTAAGACCCGTCAGTATACCTTTTCTAATGGGATGGTTACTTTTAGGAATGACTTTAAAGACCGCCTCGATAACAGTAACTGAAATAACCAATGAAATTTGTGTAATTTATAAAAATCTACATTTCTAGTCGAAATTATTATATTATTATTAGTCCCTTGGGTTCCTAGTAGAACATAGGGCTTCAGTAGCACGTCTCCAGTGTCCTCTGTTCTCTGAGATCTTTTGAACCTGGTTCCACGACAGCCCACAAGCTCTCATTTCTTCCTCGCACGACCTCCTCCATGTCACCCTCACCTCGAACACCCAACTCGTCGCTTCCCATGGGGATTCCACTCGAGTGACTGGCCTGACGCGTGATGTCCTCAGTCGGCCTTCTCAGTGCATGGCCAATCCATCTCCACTTCCTCCTGCATATTTGTTGGGTGATAGGTTCTTGGTTGGTTCGTTCCCAGAGCACCTTGTTGCTTATTCTTTCTGCCCATCTGATCTTCAGTAGCGAGCGTAGACTGCAGTTGTTGATGAATGTCTGTAGTTTATTGGAAATCCCTTTCGTAACACGCCAAGTCTCTCAACCATACAGAAGCACTGACTTGACGTTGGTGTTGAAAATCCGTATCTTGCTCCGCATACTGAGTGCAGAAGATCTCCACACTGGTTTCAGGCTAATGAACGCCTGTCTTGCTTTTCCGATTCTGACTTTGACATCCTCGTCTGTGCATATGCCGCCTGTAGTTGAAAAGTGCTTCCTAGATAGGTGAAAGAGGTTACTCCCTTTAAGTTTCTCCCGTTGATGGTGATTAGAGTTTGTTGTTGTTGGTGGTGGTGGTGGTGTTGTTGGTTGGGTATCTTCTTCACCCCTATCTTCTCTATATTCACTTGAAGTCCAGTCTCCCTTCGCTGCCTCTTCTGTCAACTTGTTGGTTTTCACCTGTAGATCTTCGAGTTTATGTGACATCAGGCACTAGTCATCGGCGAAATCCAAGTCTTCTAGGTTCTTTTCCGTCGTCCAGTGTATCCCCCTCTTCTCGCTGCCCACTGTTTGCTGCATGATCCAGTCGACCACAATCAGGAATATCATGGGGGATAGTAGGCAACCTTGTTTCACTCCTGTCTTCACTTCAAAGGCATCACTGAGCTTCCCATTGTGAATTACTTGGCATGTGGCATCTTCATATAGTTGTTGAATGAGGCGGATAAAGGTTTGCGGTACTCCGTAGTATTGAAGCAGTTTCCAAATTACTGCTCAGTCGACGCTGTCAAAGGCCTTCTCAAAGTCGATGAAGTTGAGGTAGAGAGTTGACTGCCATTCTATGCTCTGTTCTATGATGATGCGAAGCGTTGCAATTTGGTCCACACATGATTTGTACTTCCTGAAGCCTGCCTGTTCTGGTCGTAGTTTCGAATCCAGTGCATCTTTAAGCCTCTCCAGGATGATGCGGCTTAATATTTTGCTTGCTTTGGGTGGACAGGAGAGTGATTCCTCGCCAGTTCTTGCAAGCACTGAGGTCTCCCTTCTTCGGCAGTTTGACAAGGTAACCCTTCTTACAATCAATTGACAGGTACCTTCTCTTCCTTCCACACCTTCTGCAATAGTGGTGTGGTGTGGTGTGAGCATGTCTGCTGTTGTCTCTGTGTCTGTTCTCAGTGCTTCTGGCGGTATCCTATCTGGTCCTGCTGCTTTCCCGCATTTCACTAGCTTTATGGCGTTCAGGACTTCCATTTTCGTTGGAGGATTTATGCTCACTTGTAATTCAGCGGCTGCAGGTGGTATTTCTGGACGAAGTGCAGGTGGTGGTGGTGGTCGATTCAAGAGCTTTTTGAAGTGGTCGGCCATTGTTTCCTTTGTTTCTCTTCTTTCGTAATTCAGTTTCCTTCTTCATCTTTTATTGGTTTCATCTGTGTTGATCTCTTCCCTGATAGCAACCTGGTTATTTGATACAGTGTCGTCAGGTCTCTTTTACCTGCAGCCTGTTCTGCTTCA